CATATTAAAGTGAGAACCACACAATATTTAAAATGTCATCTGAGTTTGTCTAAACATTAGATAAAAAGCATTTTGCTCTAAAACAGAACTCGATCAGATCAGCACCTTATAAATAAAAAAGACTTCTGAGAATAACAGATTTAACATTAAAAACCTTTTCTGACATTTTATTAAATATGAAAATATACAAATCCCAGTCCCCAAGACAAGATCTGGGAATTGTGTATTTATGGACATGACCTGAATTTCCAACACTAAAATCAAGATTAATCATGTGTATATATGTATGGATAAAATACTCAAAAACTAAAGCATTAACCTGTAAATAATAAGACAAACCGACTTGATTTATTGCACTGGAAAGCACTAGTGGCAAAGACAAACCCACTGGTGCGTTGCTATCAATGGAGAGCTCATAAATTAAATGTCTTAGCCTGGGATACTAGCACAACTGTGTAAGTGAAAATTATTCAGGAGTTAGAGATTACTTAAAATACCATTGTAACAGGAAGCAATATCAATGGACAGGCTGCTCCAGTTTCACCACAAAAAGCTCCAGACAGATGGTGATCCATTTCAGAAAGCTTTTCCTGCATGATCCCAGCTTTCATGCTGGTACAGGAAATCGGTGATTTGCAACATACAAGTTTGGGTACATTGGTGTGTTGTCGAAAGTTTTATTTTTTTCCTGATCCTTATGTTGTGAACAGAATGACACCCCCTTTCAGTTTTACCCATGGTAATTTACATTTTAACCATCATACAACTTGTATGAAGATGCAGTAATTTTACAATTTTTACAATGCCCAGCAAAGAACTGAATAACAAACACATTACAATAAAAACAGACTACATTAAAGAACTACAAGTCGTCTTTAATTTTCCAAGCATAAAGTGTTTTTTTGAAGCCGTTGGGGACCTGGGCTGATAGGTGCATTCCCAGGTGAGTTCCCACTATTCTATGATCAAGAAAACCACAATCTACAGTTCTAAAAAGAATTTTTAAAAAAAACACACCAATATGTTTATGCTGTCATGGATATGATAACGGATAACATACCTAGTACTGAAAGCAGGTTGTCCATCAGAATGGCCATAAGTTAGTTAATTATTCAAATGAATTATTTGAAGCTATCTTGTGAGAACAGAGGGATGCTAACTGCACAAGGGCTAGTCTGAGGCCCAAGACCTTTTCACCTACTCAGTGGGATTCTGCGGGGCCTTTTGAGGGGCCTTTTCCTCTGAAGGGGTAAAACGTTTACTATAAGTTACAAGAAGAGAGAAATGAAATGTGTTTATTTGGCTCCCTCAGGATCCTAGACAGATGTACCCCTGCCCTTCCTCGTCTGTGTCCTGTCCATAAGCATAGCAGAAGCCTTCCTTAAACGTAATCTGTTCCTCAAACTAACAAGGGAGCTGTTGAAATAAGACATGCTTAAGAAAGAAGGAAAAAAAGATCTGCATTGTCATAGCAACAAAGAAATCTAATTATTAATTATCATATTACTGTATGCATTATAACGGCATTAGGCACGTCGCTGTGTGTTAGGATTCCTCTTGAGATTAGGCAATGCCAATAGTTGATAACTAAAGGGGAAATTACATAATGGGCCAATAGTCACCACATTGTTTTAGAACAAACATAAACAAACAAAGGTCATAAAGGCACTGATTACTTTACAGCATTTTGAGGAAACAGAGTGATAAGTGAAGGAGTATTTGCACAATGGGGCTGTTTGAAACTGCAAAAAAAAGAGGGCTTCCCTTTACAGTCCTATTTGTTGAATGTGATTTGTATCTCCATCATGCACACACAAAGCTCCCAGCCACGCTAATTATTTATCTTTAGATTTCTGGCTTAATACTGTTCTGAATGGAAGTTGTGCTTAAGTGTAGTAATTCTAGCATTTCCCTTAATTAGCTAAATCACAGATGAACATGTACTGGAACTCATGATCCTACTTTAACTACAGCATAGACAACAAATGAATACATGAAAAATCAAGACGTAAAGTATTTCTGTAACCAGTCAAATTAATTTTGTGCATTTGGTCCAAAATTTCAGAAATGATTAACCTGTCTTCAGGAAAACAATATTTATCAAGCTAGATGTCCCATTAATTGTAAATCCCATGGCATAACTTTTTAGTTTCTTGCATTTCAATAATTACAAATTTCACATGTAAACAACACTGAACTGATTTTTAAAGAATGTGACTTTAATAGGCTATTTAAACACTATCATAATTAAAATAACATTTCTACATGTAGTCTCCATAAGTAAATTAGATACTGTACATGAATTTAGAGAAACTGAAAACATTCTCACCCTCCTTGCAGTTGATTAAATTTTCATTACTTAACAAATGAAGGGTTGCCTATTTGCCTGCTTGATTTCGCTTTTGCATGTACACAAATCCTTACACAGGTGCACCAAGCCAAGATCTTCAGGGTAAGCAAAACCAAACATTTTGAGCAGCACATTATGTATCTGATAAATTAATACACAAACCAGCTTGCCATAGACCATACGACACCAACTTTGCCTTGTAAATATTTGATCATTCACAACAACAATGGATTATGTGAAGCTGGCCAAAAATCTTTTGTGAGCTCCCTGACTCCAATGATGTAGAGCAAAGGGATTGGTCATGCACACCAGCTGAAATAAAGACCATGTTACTGCTTTGCTCAACACCAGCTGTTTGTTTTTGCAATAAGGAACGTAATGTGACTACTGGGGACATTGAAAAAGAAATGTTAATACGCTCTGTATGTCAGTACTTGTACAAATTTAGTATCTTGTTCTGGTTTCTGATGAATAGCAATAGCCATGATTTCATTAATTTTCCAAAGTGTATCCATACAAATTCTATATAATTTGTCATCAACATGGATGGCAGTCTAAATATGTACTGCATATTTGACAAACAAAAAATTACATTGGTCCTCAGGATAAGTGTCAGTTATGGAGAATCAAACATTACAAATAATTACAATTAAAATTCTAAGAATAGAAAAATATAATAATCAGGGTTTGGTGTTCATTATTCCTTTATATATAACACGAAATTTCATATAATCATTCACATTTATTACATTAATCAATGTCGTAATCAATAACTGTGCTAGAAAAAAAGTTTTTCAATTTATGATATCCTGATGTCATGTACTGTTCTTTGATGGGAAAAAGTAGCTGGAAAAAAAATGTGGAAACGTATTTCAATATCCCATAATTTCTCACTTCCACTATATAACCAATTTACATATAGTATCTTTAAACTTTTTGTAGCTTAAATTATTACACTTTAACCTGTTGCTGTATAAGCCATTGCGATTACAACGCCAAAGAAAACTGGATCATATTATAAATTACTATTATTGATTATAATTTTTATAATTTCTATGAACTCGTTATTTTGGGTATAACTGAAGACTGAGCAATGGGTTCTTTCACTATCCCAGCACCGTTACAGCTATTCGGGGTACAGCTTTGGGCACCGTGTTCTAGTTAATGCAAACTTATACAGTGATTATACGTAAGAAATGAAACCACTTTTTTAATTAAAAAAGCGCCCTCGATCATGGGTTCATTACTAGCAGCCTATGTTCCTCGTAAACTAAGCATCTGGCTCCCCTTAAGTAAATAAAAAGAAGCCATTAAAACACAAACAGGGGACATAGTGACTAAGGGTTAAACGCTAAATAAGGTTATACAGAAATGTGCGGAGGGACTCTTTGTTTAGCTTCCACATTCTTTAAATCCCCTTACGTTTAACTGCCCCCTCCTCCCAAAAAAAGGCGAATCTGCCGATTTGGCTTCAAGTACTTGTGGGTTTAGTATAGCAGCTCCTTAATTTCTCCATTTTTTATCTTGAAAAGAAGAAAATGGATGGTGATCGCTCCCAACAACACGGACCTCTGCAATGCGACTGGAAATATAGGTGCCTATCCTAAAACATTTATTACATTTGTGTTCGGTCTGATGCATTATTAAATGATTATGGACCATGTGTTCTACAGCGACGAGTCCCTTAGAAAAGCAGATGCATCAGCATTTGAAAATGACCGTGAGCTGGGGGATATCCAAAGCCTTGCAAAGCAGCCCCCTGGCACCGCAATACCGTAGGAGGTCACGGGGAGACTTTCAAAACAAACAGAAAAACGCAATCATACACCCGCACACTATAGCACACAAGTCACTTCATCCATTTATCCAAACTTAAGACTGTAATGCATGTGCAGGAAATGGTAAAAAATCAAAATGTAAAATCCAGTGCCCATTTCCTCCATTCGCGGAAAGATCAAATATCCCGTGCGCCCCATTTGCGGGGCAGATTCATGAAAACGTTCAAACTCTTTCAACCAAAAAATATGGAAACTCTCCATCTGCAATGTTCATGCGATCTACAACTGCTGTTTGCACACTGATAACAATGTTAGCCGTGGTGTATTAATGAAATAATGTTATCTAGGAACGGAACCCGGAAAAAGCCAGAGGCGGTACATGGCTGTCTGTAGGACTATAAGAGGAGCACGAAAAGCAAACAAAGCCATTTTTGTAAAATATATTTTGGGAATCGGTCTCATTTTTTATAAACTCAGCGTTTAGCCAAACTCGCTGCTATTTTGTAATGTACTCGTAAAATGAGTTGAGCCGTTTGCAGTTACCCACGATCGGCTATCAAATAAAGTAAAGGGCTGGCTGCAAATTATGTGCGAGACTAAAACGAGCCACCAAAAATCAGTGTTCATTTAAATACGAGTAGCAATACAATAGGTAACAATAGCATGCTCCCCGGTTACATATTTATATACTACACTATGACAACGATTATCGATTTACCAATTGTGGAAATCAAATCTGCAGAATAAGTGATATACGAGCGGCCGGCATGAAAGTTAAATGCTTTGACATTAACCAGCAAAATCCGGCATGCGAACTTGTTAAACGACAGCCAACTGAAGTCAATTTACCAACAATGTAAATATCCACTTACGTATTTCTTTTGAATAATATTCCTCTTCGGTCTTTCTTTGCTCATTATGCAATCCAACGTGTATTTGCTAAAATGAGAATCGCCACATGAATTTTTTGCTGTATTTTTCTTTCCTCTTGTCTGGATTGGCGTCAGAATATTTAAACCTCCCGTAGCTATCAAGTGAAGTAAAAGAGCTTTAATTCCCTCTTCTGTATTCCTCCAAGCGATCTCGCCTGTAATTGTGTAGTATCCAGGTATGAAGAAGGAAAAAATTAAAACATCATATCAAACTGGCATAACATTTTCATAATAACGTATAAGATTTCTCCCCCCCATTATTACCACAAAAAACTCGAAATTTACTCTCCGGGCTCCATTGAAAAAGGATGAGTGTTATAAATATTATCAGCACGCAGTTGTAATTTACATCTTCAGGAAAGGGACTTAAACGTGACAAAATAAATAAAAGGCTCTGAGTCACGTTTTGGCTGGAGCCAGCAGATGATGAGCGCCACTGCTGATCTGCTCTGAACCAGATTCTTTCTTCTAGTGTCTGGCTACCGTCAAGCTATCCGCTCTTTAAAAACAGCGAGCCGAAATATTGCCCCTCGAAACGCGGTGCGCAAATACATGGTGTAGCGCGGTAATCAGCGATGACGATGTACCTCATGGGACACTACAGGAAAACCTAGAATATGGACTTGAAAGTGTGCGCAATTAAATCACACAAAATAAAACGTGTTATCATTTTATCAGATGAATTGCTATTGCTATATGTAACAATGACAAAATACTACTATTACCACTACCGCTATTGATAACATCCGCAATAATAATAATAATCATCATATAAAAATAATATCATAGTAATTATGATCCATCATACATCGAGCCCCTTATCCTCGCCAGGGGGCCTGGAGTATATCCCAGACAGCACAGGGCACAAGGCTGGGGTAAACCCTGGATAGTATGTATTAGTGGTGGCAATGAACAGAATAATAATAATAATAATAATAATTGCTAATACCAATATTATTTATTAATATTGCTAATAATACTAATCTTTTACTATTCTTATTGCTAGTATTATTACATGTTAGTTGTTCCCATTAAATTATGAAAGAAATTGTATTGCAGTAGATTGTTAATGCATATGGCATTGAATGGGAGCAGATAATGTTTCTGCCCTATAACATTCTCCTAGTACCACTATTCAGTACCACAGTGTTTTTGAAGGTTTTTTTGTAATCAAATTCATTTTCACGGTATTTGTCAAATACTAAGGACTACCTTTGTCCTCATTGCATGATAATATACATAGGTGTACTCTCTCACATTTTCACATATCAGCAATAACCTGGAGTTGTATACCCTTTATACAGCGTAAATAACTGACCTCCACAAACACCTTCTAAACCTGTTCTTAGAAATCTCTGATAAGGATACAGCTGTCAGGGACGACAAGTCCTTTAAAATCCCAACTACCATCCACAACACACTCAAGCAGAGAAAGACTATTTGTGCCATCATGAAAAACCTTTATGTTTCCTGTGTTATCCATTCATCTTCTGGCCACTAATCCAGTGCACGGTCACAGAAAAACTGGAGCTAATTCCAGGAAGCTCAGGATAAAAAAAGAGGCACATCCAGGAAGGGATGCCAGTCCATTGTGTGGTGTACATACAGCAGGAGATTCACAGACATCGATTCACCTAACCGGAGTATGTTTTTGAACCATGAGAAGAAACCCACAGTACCCAGAATCCCCAGAGGAAACCTTTGCAATGCAGGGACAACATGAAAATTTACACCCGGGCAGTGGTGGCTTGATGGTTAGGGAAGCGCACTTGTAATTGAAAGACTGCTGGTTTAAATCCCCGACCAGCAAGGCACCACTGAGGTACCCTAAGCAAGGTACCGCCCCCAAGCACTGCTCCCCGGGCGCTGAATTAGCTGGCCCCTGCTTTGTCAGGAAAGTCACATATGGGTTAAATGCAGAGGACACATTTCGTTATTGCGCACTGTGCGCTGTGGTGTATTAACAAAGACCACTGATCACCTAATTTAAAATTCAGTGATACCCACTGAGCCACTGTCACCCTTTCCTGTGTTGTATGAAAACTGATTATTACCCAACATTTGCTGGTAAAATTTTGTAGAATCTTTGAAAAGTCATGAAATATTCCAGCAGTGTCATGTTTGGTACTATAGTTGATGGCATGTTTAATCTGAGCTGAATCTGCCTAATTAATGGCAGTTTAAAGCATTTCTGATTACAAATGAAAGGTTTTGAAGCTTTACAAATGCAGTCATTATTTAGCTCTTCCCCCCCCAACCACTTCAGACATGTTTATGGTCAATCTTTGTAAGCTTAGCCGAGCAGCACTTGTACCTAAGTCGGCTCCTTGACAGATGCATGCTTGTGATGTATCTGCCTCAGTTCTTTTTTACTTTGGACAAAAGTAAGTGCTAAAAAAATGTAAAATAAAATCATCCTGCTTCAAGAGCAGCATACTTTCTATCTACACTCCGTGGAGAACCTGCATAATCTAAAGGGTAGCGAAGCTGGCTGACAAGACTAATGTAGCTCTATGTCAACGTCAAAAGCAACCGACATTTAAACAGGCCCTTTCCCAGAACAATCTTCCTTGTCAATAAGCAACCCTAGAAAAATACGCCCCCCCCCCCCCCCCAGCTTTCAAAGTAACGATGAATTAACTACAGCTACAGAATCCAGCAATCACAAGCTACACCACAGTCAGCAGTAATTTAAAAGTCAGTCATACAAATCATGTAAAACAACTGTTTTTGTCAAAAAATACACAGTGATACATTTTATTTTGTGGTTGGCATGCATATATTTTAATCCTCTTAGTCTTTGGTAGGGAATAAATAACTGAAGTTTAATTGTATGGTTGGGTCAAGAGAATAAGCGTGTTGCTGTTTGTATGCAGGAATTGAGGAATGTATTATGGTAGGTATACGAGTATGGCCTTTGACTGTGTGCCTAAGTACAGAAGTAGTACAAAGATATGCATGTAAATTTGACCAGAAGTACTTATCTCGTTGGTTAAGTGTGTTCTTTGCTTTTGCAAAAGATGATCTATCAAATTTGTTACTGGTTCAAAATCCATTTTATACGGCATAAACATATGGATCACTCTACAAATGTGTAAAAGTTGCAAATGTGTAGAAAATGCAGAATGGCAGCCCGCAGCTTACCACAGAGAGTGCATTTTGCATTTGCTGTGTTTATGTACATATTGCATAAGACTTTTATGCAGATGCCAAAAGTGGAAATATGAATGGGTTTGAAGTTGGGCAGACTCTTTAAATGTATTTATAGTACATGTAATTTCATTCTGTGATGGCTTTCAAATGTCAGTCCTTCTTTTCCCTTGCTCTTTATATGACAATTTTCATATTCTCCATCCTTATTTGCAAATAAAAGCAGAATAATTTGTATGCGAACTAACTGAATAATCAGCAAGTAGGTTAGCCGAGAATAAATAAGGGAAAAGGATGCGACATATTTACAAGCTCAAATTAGCCTTGTAATAGCATGTGGGTCCTTTCAATTAGTGTAAGAAATAATGTAGCTCATGCAAAGCACAAATATCTTCTTGAAAAATTGCCCTAATATGCTGTGGGATTTGCAGTGTTATGGCTTTGTCTTTTTTTTTTTTGCCAAACTCCAGCTCAATTAATAGTTTTTTATCATTAAAATCATGATAAAGCTTGTATCTTAATTTGAAACAAAAAGCAAAAAGTGACACCTGCAGTTTCAAGGTGGGGAAAGGTAAAAATCATGCAACATAATATCTCTGTTTACAAAAACAAAATTGATTGCTTTAGTGGCATTTACAGCTGGGAATGTTTTTCGACATATACCTTTTTTTCAAAGGTGGATAATTTAGACTTGGTGGTCTTAGAGATGTTCAGTGAAAAAAATATATCAGAATACACTGTAGCTTTGTGGAATCGATGGACAGATTCATTACCAATGCATGGAAGTACATCCAGTGTAAACATTCTGCCTTTTTCCTGTCCTCTTCGACATCCATAACAACATATACTGATTATGATAATGTTCATTATCATTGGTCTCAATTAAAATATTCACCCCGGTCCTTTCATTTTAAAATCTGCTCCCTGTGGTGATGGGGATTTCTTAGTAGTGTCATTAGGATATTTTGATTGTGCTGTGATTTCTCTCCTCGCCCATTTACATCCAATCAGTATTGTGAGTCCATTACTGCACATGACAATAAATAAAATGCAATGATGCTGTCCAATAACACAAAGGTGTCCTGAGTAGCCATCCGTGAACCAGATTCCCAATTTGCAGCTCATCTGCCACTTATGGGGGGGTTAGGGGGTACAGGAAATGGCCCTGTGCCTGGTATGTCACATGCTTTGTACGGAGCACAGACAGTTTGCCAAGGAAGAGTTGAAGTTTTTCAGAATGGATCCCTGTAGGTTGTTTAGTACGTGTCATTTTCTGAAGGTCAGCACAAGATGAAATAAAGCGAATCTCTCTACTAAAAGAGCAACTTCTCAGAACCAATATATAAAACCAGGAGGAAACTGTAGTCTGAGTGTAAATACTTTTAATCACAGATTCCTTGGCTTGGCTGCACTGTCCAGTTCCATCTGGCCAGATGTTCCATGCAATGCTGGACCAAATGGCGTTGTGTAGCATTTGTCTGTCTGGGTGCAATTCTTCACATTACTGTAATAATCCACATGTTTTCAGCTGCTAACTGCTTATCCAGTGATGCAGAACCCATGCTGTAGAGGATAAAGCGTAAGGCAGAGCACAGCCTGAATGTGACAGGGAGCCTCTAAACCACAGATGCATTCAGTCAGGGGCAATTTGGGGCATGAACTGGACCATAAGAAAAATGTCAGGATGGGAAGAAGAGCACGCGGACTCCACAGATTGAGAGCTGAGGTCAGATTTGATCCCACAACACTAACCACTGAGCCGCCAGCATCCTAGAGTGAGTAGCTAAATATTAGTGGGACAAATGTATGTATTTTCTTATGGGTTTATATGGGTTTATATGTATTATGGGTTTATATGGGTTTATATGTATTATGGGTTTATATGCCGCTCTTAAAGAGGCCTTCTACCATCCATACATTCCGGTAATAAAAAGCGTAACAAAGCAATACCCAGAATTAGAACCAAACCTAGTAGGTAAAATATATTCAAGGGAATGGTTGTAGTGTAAGCAGGGTGTATAATAGACAAACATTAAAAGACTGGCCAGTATTTTTATTCAAACTAAACTTCTCCAACAACATAGCCCATGAAACAGTGGATAAGGGGACTGTCAGAGTGCCTTGGTCTGGAAAGACTAACATACATTGCTAAGGGGAATCAGAAAGAGTTTGTTCATCTCTGGGAACCATATATGAGCATTATAGAATCTGCAATGTAAATTTTTATTTATTTAGTTATTTGTTAGGTTTTTTTTTTAAGGGTGACTCTTGTTACATTGAAGTTTACGTAGGCCTATTTTATTTTATTTCAAACCTTTGCATTGATTTTATTTTGCAAAACTATATATTGAAATATGGATTGTGCAAATGTG